TTCATTTTAATCTTCATTCTAGTTTTAGAAATAAATTTTCAGAGAGTAAGAACATAGGTTTGTTTCGCCGAACAATTTGTTTTGGAGTGCTACTACAAATTGGTTAAGATCATTGTATCCTGGGAGATAGACGCCACTCAACCGTAAGCACCGTAGCGGGGCGAATCTGTCTTAACACACTCGACTTAGTCTTTTATTTTTTAATTCGGTTCGAAAAATAAATTCAGTATGTTATTTATTTATTTTGTTTGAATTAGTTTCAATTTATTTTATTTACACAGATTGTTGTTCCAACAAAAGATTGATCTAAATCTTATACCTAACAATTGAATAAAATTTTGTGAAGTACTGGGATAAATTTTTCTTTTTTTTGGGATAAATAAGCAAATCTCATTGAAAAAGTATCAAGATGATGTAAAGAATACAAAACCAACTTAAAAACTAGCTAGCAAAACACATATCCAAGAGCAAAGCAAAACAGCTAAACACAAGTATATCAAAGCAACTACTGAATTAAGTCCTCTACAAAGTCAACAAAAGTCAGTACATCCGGGTCAACTGATAACAATACCCAACTGCGCAGCACAGTACCATGCCACTGAACGCATCTCTCATAAATTGTACAAGTATTCGCACAACACATTTGGCAAGAGATTGGTGCAAGTTTCCACTACAATCTAAAACGTTAAAGTGAAATAGTATTAACTTCTATCATATCTAGGAGCACCATCAGTAATGGGCACACAGACAAGAAACCTACAAGGAACAGTATTTTCCTAAATGCGTCTGTTACCTCAGCAAACTGGAGCAAATGAAGCCCTAACACATGCTCATCTGGATGGCCCAGAACTATCGTCCCCGTCTGTCTCAAACAAACATATATGAGAAACCAGGGGTAAAGAGAGAAAGAGGGTTCAAACAGGAGGCGCGGTTGAATGCAACAAAACATCAACAGTGACTGTCACTGGCATCATGGCCCATTGGTACAGAACTGCCAAAAGCCAAGTTTAGTTGCAAGCTCAACATAATAAAGGTAGAGTGTGAGCATAGCAAATAGGCCTAAAATTAAGGTTGTGTTTGGATCTTGAATTTGAATAGTGGCTTGTGAAGTGAACGGGAAAGGAAAGGGAAAAGTAAATGAAATACTTCCTTCATTTTTCCATTTCCTTTTCCTTTCCCTCTGCAAACCCCTCATCAAATTCAAGAACCAACCGCAGCTTAAGGGTACCAAAACTAGTGAAATGTTCATTTGATCAAACAAGTGTGGCACAAGAACAAAATAGCTTAAAATCATTTTATACAAAGAAGTACAAAAAACATTAAGGCATAAAAAAACCTTCAATTGGCAAAAAGATTCTAAAACTTCGGTCTCTCTGCATAGTTCTCGTGCAGCTATGCTAGTTGAAAAAAGAAAATTTAAATTAGTACAAAAAGGCCACACAGGAGTTGCCAGAAGATAAGTGAAGATGGATCAAAATTGAAAAATGGCTTAATATTGAAGTAAAATTTCTTGCATGTTCCTTTTTCGCTTTTTATTTTTTATTTTCATGGAAAATGTCATCAAAAAAATAGGATAGCATTTGCATTCCACTTTTTGTCATCAGCAGCTTATAATTTAAAGAAATCATTATTAAATGACAATGATCTCGCACACGAAGCCAAAAAAAATTTTCGCTTTTTATTTTTTTATTTTTTATTTTCATGGAAAATGTCATCAAAAAAATAGGATAGCATTTGCATTCCACTTTTTGTCATCAGCAGCTTATAATTTAAAGAAATCATTATTAAATGAAGCCAAAAAAAAAAAAAAGTGGATTTCTGGCCAAAAAAAAGGGCGATTATGACTATTACTATCATAATAAAATTCCAATTCAGACAATTTCTCGAAATCATATTCTTTTTTTTTTAGGAACTTCAGAAATGTTCAAGAAAACAAGGAAATACAATAAAACAAGTTGGAGTCAAGGTTACACATTTAAGGTTACAGCTAAATCCTCAAAATATCCAGGATTAGAGCAATAAGTTGGATTTAAGCTTTAGCAACATTGAAAATATGACCAACTTTATCAACGTTGAAAATATGACCAAGTATAGAACAAATCATACTTTTTTCAACTCCACTGTGTCTTTACCAGATTTCCTCATGATAGAACAAATTCTAGCATGTGCACACAACAAATAGACTGCTGTGTTGCCCTGATTATCAAAGAAGTTAAACAAGTAAGAAATGAATGCAATGGTGACAATAACAGCGACTCTGTAACGCCTTAGAATTTGGTAAAACGCACTCTATCATTAAGCATCTGATCAAAATTAAATGTGTAATTGGTCAATCTGTTATTCTTCAGGTCAGCATACCTGCCAAGCCAAACTAAAAGTTAAAAAGACAGGCAATATCACACGGATCTAAATATATCACAATATTTGACTCAATTCGTGTATTTTCTAACATGATCATTTAATATCACCCAAAAATATAGGCTCCTTCCTTCTCCAAACCACATTAATTGAACTATTTAAGTGTTAGCAAAGGATCTAACGAGACCTTAACAGAAGAATGCATATAGATATCACACAAATAACAACACCAGCCAAAATAATAATTACACAGTTACCATCATCAAGTAAATTTTGTACGGGTATAAAGGATCTTTCTTAACCCCACAACCAACAGCCTCAGCAGTTTGCAAAAGCTCGTCCTCTGTCCATTCATCAGCTTTACTTGATCAAGATTCAAATAAATCACGTGTCAAAACTTCAGATATTTTAATTAAGTTATCCGGTTACAATATTGCTTCTTGAATAAAAAATGCAGCATCAAATCCTAAATCAACTAATCAAACCACTTCAGTACTGCGAGTTCAAAATCATTTCCCATCTTCTTCGAGAACAAGACCAAAGCGCACATGGCTAGCTTTAGTGTACATATTATCATTAACTGGAAGCCAACCAGCATGTTTCGCTGCCTGAATGAGGAACATAAGTGGGGAAAAGAAAGGAAGACCATCAAACTCATGGAGGTACATTACCCCGTCTCTACAAAGCACACAAAGTTATGAAGCAAAAGACATGACACTTGATACTTACCGTGAAAAACATTTCAAAGTGCTTTCGCTGGCCTACATTACTAAAAATATATATATATTGATAAATAATCAAACTTTATTAGAAAAGTATCAAGATGATGCAAAGAATACAAAAATACATCCCACAAAGGCACCAAGCAAGATTAACTAATCAAATTCTCCACAAAATCTACAAAAGCAACCAAACTCGTAACCCAACTATGCAATACCATCAACAACCTACTCTCTAACCATTAAACTGAATGACACACATTCTGAAATACTCGCCTATTCCTCTCCAACCACACCAACCAAAGCAAACAATGGGAAGTAAGAACCCATGCCTTCCGACGCCTCTTCCCCACCCTAGCTCCACCCCAGCTCCACCCCAACTTTGTAACACACCTAGCATAGTGTAGACGTCCCCGAACACCCCGGGAGGGAATCCCGTTTTGTTCATTGGGCTCACTACAGTTCAGGACTCAATGTCACAGTCCTGTATCTAATCTCACAGAGTGCAATGCAAGACTGATGAATCGTCAAAGAGTCCAAATCTGACAAATCGTTTTTTAAAACAGATTTTTTGAAAGAAGTGTCAAACATGGACTGCTTTGCCAGATACAGAGTCGCCACCTAAATATTTTATTTTGAAAAA